AGGATGTAAAAATGTTCGCAATTCCAGTAAAACTCACTGCAACAAAGAGTCGCTTGCATGTCGCCGTTTTGGATCCAATGACAGAAAATAGCGGTGGGGATACATCTATTTCGTCGTATCGAGCGCGAATTACTTGAGTTAGTGCTACTCCGGGCTTCCGTATCGTCTCCCCCTCCCTCCTTGTGCTCTGCGACTTCAAGTAACTGCGCCACCTGGCGTTTAAATGCCTGTATTACAAGTCCAAATGAAATGAATGCAATAATTTACATCGAACCTTAATTGTGTACTGTACCAACCTTCGGCGGGCCGGATTAAAAAGACCAACGGGCCGGATCCGGCCCGCGGGCCGGAGTTTGCCCATGTCTGCCCGAGGGAATATGGAAGCTTGTGCACAGACTGGATTAGTGTGTGACAGTGCTGGGAGACTATGTTGAAAAAAAAAAAGTTAGCTTCTCAGTGCTGGGAGACTATGTTGAAAAAAAAAAAAGTTAGCTTCTATCTGTACTAGATGTCCTTATACCAAAAAATTCACCTTATTTATCGAATGACCCTTGTAGATTAATTGCCAGCCACCAGGGGTTGCAACTGGAGGTCATAGCATTTGGTCAGGGTGGCAACTGCCACCCCTTGCTATTCTGTAAAACTGATGCACCATCAAACTACCTCCTCAGCTGCGGCAGAGGAACACGAAGGCTGCCTTTGCTTTCACCAAAACTACTTAAGTACATTAGGACATGACTTATTATTACTATACATTAGTTAGGGTCTAGGAGCGGCACGGTGGTCGACTGGTTCGCGCGTCAGCCTCACAGTGCAGAGGTGCAAGGTTTCATTCCGGTTCTGGCCTTCCTTTATGGAGTTTGCATGTTCTTCCCATACCTGTGTGGGGTTTGTGCGGGTATTCCGGTTTCCTCCCACATTCCAAAAACATGCGTTGAGGGTCAATGGAACACCCTAAATTGTCCCTTGGTTGTTCGTCTATCTGCGCCGTGCGATTGGCTGACAACCAATTCAGGGTCTACCCCACTTGCTGCCCGAAAATAGATGGGATAGGCTCTAGCATACCCACGAACCGTGTGAAGATAAGCCGATTAGAAAATGGATGGATGGATGAATGGATTGGTGTATTGGTATTTGTACGGCCGGCTGGATCTCGCTTGTACTTAAAACTACAAAATGATGTTTTTGTTGTGAAAGCCCATGCATTTTTCCATGCAGTTACAATGCATGCCCTCCCTGTAAAATAATTGTTTCTTTTGAATGGGGAATGGGGGACACCTGTGGCAATTCTGAACCACAAGAGGTGCCATGAAAGTATGGTTATCATAAACATACACACGTGTGGTGGTTATCTAATTGGTATTTAAAGGGTTAAAACACTCAACTTGATTTAAATTTCACATATTATGATCAGTCTTGGTGTGTAGGAAATAAACAAAAGTTTATATCCAACACAGTGAATTTTACAACCTGATAATAATATACTGTACCCTCACCGGCCACTTTATTAGGTACACCAGTCCAACTGCTCGTCAACACTTAATTTCTAATCAGCCAATCACACGGCGGCAACTCAGTGCATTTAGGCATGTAGACATGGTCAAGACAATCTCCTGCAGTTCAAACCGAGCATCAGTATGGGGAAGAAAGGTGATTTGAGTGGCTTTGAATGTGGCATGGTTGTTGGTGCCAGAAGGGCTGGTCTGAGTATTTCATAAACTGCTGATCTACTGGGATTTTGACGCACAACCATCTCTAGGGTTTACAGAGAATGGTCCGAAAAAGAAAAAATATCCAGTGAGCGGCAGTTCTGTGGGCGGAAATGCCTTGTTGATGCCAGAGGTCAGAGGAGAAAGGCCAGACTGGTTCGAGCTGACAGAAAGGCAACAGTGACTCAAATAACCACCTGTTACAACCGAGGTAGGCAGAAGAGCATCTCTGAACGCACAGTACGTCGAACTTTGAGGCAGATGGGCTACAGCAGCAGAAGACCACGCCGGGTGCCACTCCTTTCAGCTAAGAACAGGAAACTGAGGGGACAATTTGCACAAGCTCATCGAAATTGGACAAGAGAAGATTGGAAAACGTTGCATGGTCTGATGAGTCTTGATTTCTGCTGCGACATTCGGATGGTAGGGTCAGAATTTGGCATCGACAACATGAAAGCATGGATCCATCCTGCCTTGTATCAACGGTTCAGGCTGGTGGTGGTGGTGTAATGGTGTGAGGAATATTTTCTTGGCACTCTTTGGGCCCCTTGGTACCAATTGAACATCGTTGCAACACCACAGCCTACTTGAGTATTGTTGCTGAATCTATCCATCCCTTTATGACCACAATGTACCCAACTTCTGATGGCTACTTTCAGCAGGATAATGCGCCATGTCATAAAGCTGGAATCATCTCAGACTGGTTTCTTGAACATGACAATGAGTTCACTGTACTCAAATGGCCTCCACAGTCACCAGATCTCAATCCAATAGAGCATCTTTGGGATGTGGTGGAACGGGAGATTCGCATCATGGATGTGCAGCCGGCAAATCTGCGCCAACTGTGTGATGCCATCATGTCAATATGGACCAAACTCTCTGAGGAATGCTTCCAGCACCTTGTTGAATCCATGCCACGAAGAATTGAGGCAGTTCTGAAGGCAAAAGGGGGTCCAACCCGTTACTAGCATGCTGTACCTAATAAAATGGTCGGTGAGTGCATATGTCGATATAGTAGTTTCCTTAACATTACATGAAATTAAAGGCAATCTTTCTTTTGTCTTTTCTCCATTTATTTATAAAACAAATGTTTCGTAGAACTGAGACCAATTAAATGAATCCAAGGTTAACACAAATACAATAAAAAAACGTGTAGAGGAAAAAGAGTAACAAATACAATAAAAAAAACGTGTAGAGGAAAAAGAGTACAGTATTCAAAATATATACTAGAACTGCCAGTTGATTAAAGTACACTGGTGTTGTGTACATTATAATGTAGTACAATGTACAAACGAGTTTTGCGGGACATGCCATTTTAAATTCGACATATAAAAAAATGACAACCTCTTTGGGTGACGTTTCAACTAAACAAAGGCTCGAGTCCATTGCTTTTAAGTGAGTCAGTTAATTGAATGTTTTGTGATTACAGTACTGTAGTTGCCGCTAGCAGTGTACGGTAGCTGTCAAAGGTATGATGCTAAGGCCACAGTAGTAATAGGTTGGGGAAAACCTTCGCATGTTAAAAAAAAAACAAACATACAAACAAACAAAAAGTTTAACAAATAGACACAATGAATTCACCAATTAATTTACGTTCAACAGGCAATCGAATCGGTGTAAACATAGACAGTGTCTGTGTGATTGGTGACTATTAGACACCAATCGTTCTTAATGTTTTGCAACCAAAAACCAACTCAACTCAATTTTATTTATGTAACTCTTTAAAAAATACCCGCAGCTAAAAAATTAATAAAAAGCTGCTACAGTGTTTTCAGAAGCAAACGTTCCTACACTGCCACATTCTGAATTCAGTAAATGTCAAGCGATTTTTTTAACTTACCACTTCCTCCTCCATGAGATCGAGCTGCGAGGATGAAGAGAGTAAACTGCAAGCGTCCAAAGATTCTGACATACTGTATCCGTGTTGCGCCTAAAGAAACTGTTTCTGCATTGTTTTCATTTTCTACTCGAATGCTTCCGTCTCTCTTCTTCTCTTCTGATTAGGACGGCGGTTGGCAAGCAACATTCTGGTTACATTACCACCACCTAACGGACTGGAATTTGAATCCGTATATGAACATAAAGGCAGCCACAAGGTTTTCGATCACGTTGAAGTGCTTTCGTGTGTGTGTGCGTGTGCGTGCGCGAGTGTTTCCCATTTGTTGTGACTGTGAGTTGTTTTTCTTGTTTTTTATGTGCTTATTTGCTGTTGTGTTTTTTTTGTTTTGTTATTTGTCGGGTTTTCCATTTATTGTGTTTATTCTTTTCTCGGTATATTTGGTTGTTTGTTTTGTGTTTTTCATTTGCAGCTGCTTTTGCTTTTTTGTTCTCTCTCTTCTCTCTCTCTCTCTCTCTCTCTCTCTCTCTCTCTCTCTCTCTCTCTCTCTCTCTCTGTGACAGTCCAATATTATGATCTAAATGTCTGGCTGATCTTTTTTACATACATTTACAAGAAATTCCTGTTACATTCCTATTAAAACACAGAAGGCTTACGCAAAATGAAACCAATTATTGCATACCTGTAAACTCATACGGTTTAGCCATATTTTATACGGATTTTGTGGTGAATCTTACGTATATGGCCATATCGCACAAATCATACGGATTCTGAAAATTTCCGTTTTTTTTTTTTGTTTTGTTTTTTTTTTCCCCTAACAGGTAGTAGTTCCGTTTGCTTTTGCCCAGAATGGTGCTCGTCTACTCGAATGCTTTCATTTCCGGTAACGTTCCAGTAAATCATGGGCAAACCCATGTGTGGCATGTAACCATAGCCACAGGGTCAGGTTACGACGGCGTGACGTCACGGCCGTAAAGTGTTGATATAAAAAGGTGACTACTGGCAATAAACGGCAGTGAGCACAGAGTCAGACTCCACGCGTTTATTTGAACACAACACCATGGGCAACCCAATGTTTCATCATCTCAGCAAAGTGATGGAAGCAGTACTTTGCTTACCTAAAGCAATGCAGACTCTGAAAGAGTCTTCAGTGTTGTGAGAAAGGTTCACACAGATTTCCGAAAATCGCTTGCACCAGAAACACTGACAGCATTATTGCAGTGCAAAAAATGAATGGATGCTGTAACTTCGAGCCGATGGATCAGCATTTGGAGTTGGTGAAAAAAGTAACGCAGGAATACAACACTGAACACAGTAATGCCACTAAGTAGAATGATGATTAGACATTCACCTGCCATTGTATTATGGAGATCTACAATAAATATCATTAAAAATTTCGTGGGATTTTTTTCTGCCGTTATTTTGACATATAAAAAGCTTTGGTATGTTATAAGGATTTTTTGCTCTTTATAAGGATTTTTTGGTAGTTTATATGGGTTGGCGCTCCGAAAGGTTGACAGGTATGTTATTGCTGGATGGTCTCTGTGATAGATATGACAGGTGTTCAAATACATTCTTAAAGCACTGCCATTTTTTTTAATTCTCGTACTTGTTGAAATAATGCTCATTAAGATTTCGTAAGTGGATGCTGTTGCAACTTTGACTTTTGTTTGATACAATGTTAATATAGATGTTGGAGGGAATGGTAAGCTATTTGACCATTAAAATGATGCAAAATGAAATGGTTTGGTCTGAACCATGAAAAAGCAGGACTGAACACGAATCCTACTACGTCCCTGACAAGTAGTCATTTTTAGCTACTGAGGTTTCCTCCCACATTCCATTTGCTTTGACTGACACTATTAGGTGGTTGTAAGGGGAATGTTTTCCTTTCCAGTGAACAAGGTGGTTGTAAGGGGAATGTTTTCCTTTCCAGTGAACAATACAGCTCATGGTAATGAATTTGTGAGATTTGTTCAAAGCATTCTTTAGATTTATTTGTCAAAGCAGGGTCATGTGCCTCATCATCATGACTTTAAAACAGTCAGGGGGAAAATATCAGTACTTTCATTTCTAAATATGAATAATATTGCTGCTAGGACGTAAACAAAGCTGCTCCTTGAATTTCTTAATTATTGATTATACGTGGAGAGGGCATGAAAAAAAACACCTTTTAACACAACACTTGCAAATAATTCCACTGATCCAGCATTTGTTTTGACGTTTTTGTACACTGTAGAGTCTACAGTGTAGACCTTCTACTTAACTAACAAAAGTAACTGCCCTCTACAGGTTTATGTGCAGGAAGCAATACAATTAAATGAGTGCATTATTGCAGACAAGGTCTTCGTTAGGCTCAGCTTGCATCACCTAAAAGAGCTAATGCGGAGCTGGCCTGTGCAGCAAGCTGACTGTTGCTGTGGTCAGTCAGTTTCTTGAGGCTGTCTTTCATGTTCACTTCCTCCAATTCTTCATTCATCACACCTAGAAAAACCAAGGTCCCAATTTAAATCATTATCATGGTACGGTATTTCGAAAGCACCTCTCCGAACAAATGACAAAGTGTTGTACAAGGTACATTCCACAATAAAACATCGCCAAGAATGAATTGATTATGGTAAAACAAGAAAATTAATAAAATAAAGAAAAATATGCACATCGTAGATCAACAGAGCCGTAAAATCACCATTTAAATAAAAGACAGGTGCAGTGGTGCTTTGAGATACGAGTGACCCAACTTACAATTTTATGCAGATACGAGACGTCATTCGGATGATTTTCGTTTTTTGCTTTGACTTGGCAAGCTCAATCTTGAGATACAAGCGCTGGATGTTGGCAGTGAACTCAACTCAACACACTTTAACAATCCATCAAAAAAGAGGCTTCAAGCTGTGTAATGCCACTCCCAATTGAAGTTTACTGTCAAATTAAACATAAAACAAGGAGAATGACACCTTGTGTACTTAAAACAACCATAGCTTTCCCTTTCTGACCTGAACGCTAATGCTAAATAGCATTTATTTTACAGTGCTTTAACTCTTTCAGCAATGGCTTGAAAACAAACGGTGTCGCAGCCACATGTAAATTGACAATATAACAATGCTCGCATCCATGTATCCTTTACGCTTAATCCTCCTCATATAACAACTAATGTTAGTGCCATGCTGGCGAGCTGAGAGAGGAGTTGAGGCGTTATTATGAACCCCATTAGAGTTCAAGGCAGGACACGCCCAGCTGAAATATGATTGGCTTCTGCATCCAGACAGGATGGCATACAAGCAGCCAGTCATATGTTATCAAAAACTCAAGGGGGATTTGTAATAGCGCCTCAATATATCTGTGTCTGTATTATACTGCCCCAAGGTGGCCATAATGGGCACACCAGATGAAGATGCATTTAATTGATGCAATGTGACAAAAACAGTTTAATTCTTTTTAATTCTATTAAACGATTTAATTATTTTCCATTTTATTAAGTATAATACTCTGGAGTGATATTTGTTCCCATTGAATTACAATTTTTGTTGTTGTTTTTTTGGAGGTGGGGTAGTCTGGATTAATGGCATTTTCTATTCCTATTAATGGGAAAATATGATTTGAGAACAAATTAAAATCGTTTTTCAAGGCACCACTGTTTAAAAGAAGACAATAATGCAACCTGTCTGAGTCTGTCAGACAGAGATGCCATTGAGGAGACGGGTAGATAATTGACATTGATGCGCAAATCCTAGGACTCAAGCACTCTTGGAGATCAGACAAGATTTAGGGACCGAAAGTAAAGCCCATCTTGACCATTTCAGGCAGCAGTCAGGCTCATGGAGTCAAGAGTAAATAGGAACCATAGGCAGGAGCATTGCAGTAATTGATCTAAACTAGATTACCAATACATGGATGACCATTGTGATTTGGCAGACAAAGCAACGGTTTGATTTTTGGTAGTTTGCCTGATAAAAATAAAGTATGACATAGAGATGCAATTAATACATTTTGCCCATGAAGTTGTTAATATGACAGATGGCTTTTTTCAACAGTTTGTTATATTCTAACAGGTCAATTAATGCAAGAGGGTGAATTAGCAAGACATTGTTTCTCTCAAAACCATCTTGAAATCTTTTGTTTAGCCTGGAACCTAGTTGAGCCTAGTACTTCTTTTGTCAGTCGCATGTTCTCGTACAGGGGTAGGGAACTCCGGTTCCTCGAGAGCCATTTCCTGCCTATTTTAGAGCTCTTTCGAGTTCAACCCACCTGATTCAAATGATCAGCTCATCACCAAGCTCTGTAGAGGCTGGAAACGATCATGAACAGTTGAATCAGGTGAGTTGGAGTCGGGAGGGATGGAAAACAGACAGGATATGGCTCTCAAGCAACCGGAGTTCCCTACCGCTGTTCTAGCAGGTTGGACTACAAGATTTTTCCTTGGGAAACATGTTTGACATTTTATATAAAATGTTATACATCAGAGACGATCTTCAACCTGCAAGAGATTAATATCTGAATGTCGGCCCAATATAAGATTTCAAAGAATGCATACCACTGTTGGCCAGACTGCAAATGAGACATAATGCACTGTACTTGACTTCAGCTGTGCCTGTAGGATCTTCCAACATCTTCTTCAGCATTGCCAATAGCTCTGTCGTAAAGAGATCCTTCACAGACTCTGTGGACATAACCGCACAAAAACAATGTTTAACAAACATAAAATTACTTTGCCTTCATCAAAGAATACTCTGTCCTTTCCTTCACACAACCGATTTCAACACTACAAGGAATTCCAAGAACTCACAGTGAGGTCTCCTTTAAGGTCAACTTATGCTGCCCAATTTTGCCCAATGAGGTATTCATGGGGAAACGGAGCAATACTGTAAAGTTTGATAAATATCTGGTGTTTACATCTTTGTGTGTGTGGTCTTGTACTCACCAAGACACCAGGCCCGCAATCCCCCTGGTTAATTTTAATGCAAGGCACCATGTTAGGAATGGTGGTTGAAATTGTTGACTGGCCAGATTGTTGTTGACATAATGTCGTTGATAAAATGGAGCATTCTGACACAAGTCAAGAAGAAATGGGCCAACTGGGATATTTTTTTGAGCCATAAAGGTCCTTGGATTCCGAATCCGGCACAGAAAATGGCGAGACAACTCAGATTCTCCAAACGATGAAAATCCTGCATTACATTGGAAGACAAGGCTGGGCGAAGATGGCGGTTGGTATTAGGTGCAGATGTCGGCATTGCATCAAGCAGAATACTGATATTGGGTGCTTTTGGTTGCCATCCATCCATTTTCCGATCCGGTTTATCCTCACAAGGGTCGTGGGGGTGCTGGAGCCTATCCCAGCTGTCTTCAGTCAGTAGGTGGAGGACACCCTGAACCGGTTGCCACGCTCACACTCACAGCAAGGGACAATTTAGAGCAGGGGTGGCCAACCAGTCAGAGACGAAGAGACAATTTTTTTACTGTGTTACTGCAAAGAGCCACACACACACACACACACACACACACACACACACACACACACACACACACACACACACACCCCCCGCGCGCGCGTTTTTTTACACACACACACACACACACACACACACATGACCGGAGCGCCCGAACATAAATGAAACCCAGAGACACAAACACACAAATCTTTTTTCCCCCCCCCCATCACTCGCGGTTGACTTGGGACCAGTCTACTGGCTCTTGGTCGATTGCGATTGGGCACCCCTGCCTTAAAACAGAGGTAATTCGCTGACTAGCTTAGCACTTAGCGCTGTTGTCTGCGCATGAGCGGTGATTCAGTAATCTGATTGGTTGCCCTCTATGTCAATCAAGTAACGGGATTGATGACAGGCCGACGTAGTACGTTCTGTGTATAAAGCACCGTTTTTTTGAATGGCAGCGCCATCGCCGAGGCGTTTTCGACAATTATCGTGCGAAAACCCGGGAGCCGCATTGAACTAGTCAAAGAGCCGCAAGCGGCTCACGAGCCGCGGGTTGGCCACCCCTGATTTAGAGTGTTCCATTAACCTACCATGCATGTTTTTGGAATGTGGGAGGAAACAGGAGTACCCGGAGAAAACCGACGCAGGCCCGGGGAGAACATGCCAACTAAACACAGGAAGGCCAGAGATGGAATTGAACCCTGCACCTCTGCACTGTGAAGTAGACGTGCTAACCACTGGGTCACCGGGCCGCCCGCTTTTGGTTGCCATGAACATGAATTTGCTGTGGATGAAAGTGAAGACTATGGACTAAGATGCTGAACTTTACAGGCTGATTTACCCACATACATTGTCCACGTACGATCATTCAAACTGTGGTGCCTTGATCGGTGCCTTGATCAACAAAACTGATGAAGAAGTGTGTGCATGGCCTTGGTCCTGGGCGCGCTTCTGTCACTCATTAGCAAAACGGGCGTCTGTTAGTGATGGACTGAGAGGTCCGTTGGTACTTGACCAGATTAGTAGCGATTACACTGACAGATGAAAACTGATGGCCCTATTCAACTTCATCATGCAGGAAATGACAAATTTGGTCGCATTAGGAGCACCGTTGAGATTTACGCTTGTTTTTGTTTTTGGAAAAGAGGAGCTATTGGGGTCGTAGTCGCTAAAAGGCACTAAATGTAGTGAAAACATCGTGAGGTTGGCATCACTTCAGATACAAGTCAGAGACAGGATTACTTTGCTGGAAGCTGGGAGGATTTTTTTGTTTGTTGAAAATACTGCACCGGGATAGTTCTCAAAAGTGTTCATGTACTGAGAAACAACATTGTCTCCTAGCACATGCATTTTAACTAGTGCAACTGAAATTGAGTGTAATATTACTCAACTTTTACTGGTAATGTTTGCACTCGAGCAAAAAGCAATCTTCCTCTTGTAAAGTATTACTCCCAACACTGCGAGATGTTAACGGACATTGTTATCCCTCGTGTCCGATATCATTCTTAGGACTCACTCAATCATATTCTTAATGAATGACAAACCCTTTCGTATTGGGTCTGAATGAAATTTGCATTTTCCTTAAAAAAAAAAAACACCCAGTCATTACAGTGCATGATGGCAACTCGCACTCTGACGTCTGTTGAATTAAGGGGCTGAACATCTAACTTTTGAGTCGAAGCTTACAATACTTTACCGATGTTGATAGTAGATGCAATTGCCAAGGCAACCAGGGCCTCATTCTGCATGATGACATGTTCACTTTTGGACATGGATATAAGGTGGCGAATTCCATCTGCCTTTAATATGGCATGGATGACACCCTGTCAGTCAGGAAAAAACAGAACATTGATGTGAGCAAAACAATCATGACAATTAGAGAAAACTAAACTACGGTCTGCGGCTGGATGGATGCAAGGCTTGAGGAGCCGACGATGAGAAGAAAGGAGCATTAGCGCAGACCGCCGATGCGGATGTGGAACCGGGAGTCGCGGCTTGGAGTTGAAGCGGCATACATGGGGCAGGGGAAGGGA